GTACAAAATCTCTGCTCTGGCCTCAGGACTGTGTCATGAAGCCCAGAGAAAGTTGGGTGCAGGCGGGTGTTTCACCTCAGATGTGAAGTGAACAGCGCGTCTTGAACATATGCTGCTGTTGCCTTATTGTGAGTCAGAGCATAAGGCAGGACGTGCCTGGGTTTTTAAATGTGCGGGCGGCTGGAGACCTATCTTTCAAAGTGTCACCGCTTTCTTGTTAAATAAGTCGCTGTCATCAGCACCTGAGGTTCTTTTACTGTGAATTTCTTGAGACTCTTCGAGGTTAGGATGCTGACACCTTCTTTTTGAAATCTCTCCCAGGGTCACTGTCAGAGGGATTTTTTTTTTCTGGACTGATAATTGGGGACTTTTGTTAGTGTTTGGTGGCTGGCTACGTTGTGTACCAATTATTACCAGACCCTGTGGAACAGATTAATGACAGGGCTGCATCTTTTGTTACCAGTTGGGATGCGTTCAAAAATAATGATGGAAGACATTCTGAATGGAGGGAAGAAATTCTGTTCTTTTCTGAAGAGTCTTGAATATTCTTTTGCTGCCGTTTTCCTCAACCTGACAGCCACGAGTCCAACTTGGGTCTGACTCTTGTCAACTGGGTCAAGATAAGCAACTTGGGGTTCAATGCCCATTGGTACTCAGTACTCATTTTGCATAAATCTGTTGATACGATACGTATCACAATACAGGGCTGATGATACAATATATTGCAATATACTGTGATATTTATGCATGACGATATATTGAGTTTCTTTTTTAAAACAATTTATTTGTAGGAAAACTGTCAGTGTATCAAACACACTATGCTGTGGTTAAGCTAATTTTTATTTTTCCTACTTCTAATACGTTTTGCTTTTTTTTTTTATCCACTGTTCATTGCTGTTTCTATGTCAGATTGTACTGTGAGCCAAACCCCTCGTCCTTCAGATGCACCTGTCATTAAGAAAGCCCTTGTTGTTGTTTTTTTATTATTTTGTTGTTGTTGTGTAGTTGGGCTGTGTTTCTTCCTATTTAGGATCTCACTTCCTGCTTCGTCGAACATTAAAAACAGGTTTTCTGTTTCCAATACAGATAGACACTTTCACCAGAACAAATGCTTTGATGGGATGTGGGATGCGTCCCACAGTACAATAAGAACTGTCAAAGCAGAGAGAGAGAGAGAGAGAGAGAGAGCACCATACAATGGATAATAAGCCAACAACACAACAGGCAGTAACTGTCGAAGCTGCTGCACACAGGAAAACAGTCCTGCAGTCTGAAGACAAGGACTGAGATAAGGAGATGATAATAATAATAATAATAATTATTATTATTATTGTTATTATTATCATCAGTGTCCTCATAGTATAATATCCTCAGAGTTGAGATGGTATTTTAAGCTTAAGGTGCTTTATGAAAACAAAAACATTTTCCAGCAGTAATATATAATAATATATTGTTGTGCCTATGATATTGCAGTACATTGCAAAATATATCGTATCGTAGCACCTGAACCGCAGTACGTGTTGTACCGCCACATTCTTGCCACAGACGTACTAAACGGTGGATTCATACCTGTGTATGACCCAGTCTGTTCTCACTGTGGGCTCCATGATGTTACACATTTATAGCTGCTGTAACTGTTGCCTACATGTGTCTCTTCAGACCTTCACGATGAAGAGAAACGTTGAGGTACGTAGGCAGGGCTTAAAGTCGCCGGCCTCCTGCTTCCACAGCTTCTTTTGGCTGCACAAGACAAATGTATGCAAGAGTAGAACAGGTTGGGTGACAATGTTGGCAATGGCTTAACTGACACAAGCATATCACTTCTCTGGATACACACAGGTGAGCACACTCAGTATTTGAAAACGGGTTAAGGAAACGTGCTGTTTACATTTCTGGCAATTGTACCGTTCAAAAAACAGTGCTTTAATATTGACAAATGGTGAGTAAATTTCTGTCTTTAGCTTGCTTTGACGTGTTGCACGTGGCATGTGGTATTAAAAGTTAAAAAAATTCAGATAACTTCAAAAGCCGTACGTTTAGATAGTTTGTTTGCGCGCAGGCTTTCGTACAATGGTTTGTTTAGATGAATGTTCTGTCTCACAGTTCCATTACCTGTTTGACTTCAAACAAGATCTAGGACATGAGGTTTTTTTCCATATGACGTGTTGCAAAGGTAAGCCTTTCGTCACCTCAGAGTTTGGGGTCTGTTCTGCGTTCTTTGCGGTACCGCTGTACCTGTTGTGGTATAAAAGTGTACGCTCTGACACAGTTCTTAAAACCACGTTACAGAATCCTGTTTTCAACCTGCTTGAGGCTCTTCGTTTTTCTTCTTTGTTGGACGGATTCCTCTGCCTCTTGACAATCCCCCTGGTCTGTGTCATGTTCACCCTTCTCTCTTTGTTTGTGTCTATGCAAACCTTAACACCTGTGCCGAAAAACAGTGTGTGCTCTAGATACTTGAATAGTAGGACAAGTAAAGGAACTAGAAATATTTTGTTTTATATCTCAGTTCTAATTCAGGGCTTATTCTGCAGTACTTTGTATAAAGAATATTCTCCCAGGACACTTCACGTGCCTATCATGTAAGAACAACACAAAGATCTCACATTCTTACTTTCCAGTAAAACTTGATCCCTGATCGTGTCACACATTTACCTGTGAAAACCCACAAACGGCTGTTTTTTATTTTGTCTCAATAATTCACGGACTTATTATTTTTGATGGTTACTCATTATAACATAGCCTTGTTGTTGAGTGTGTATGGTTTAAAAAAAAACAGTGTTAAGGAGTTTACAGAAACAAAAAAGACAAGGAAGTATTGCACTGTAAAATCCTTCTATAAAGGCAGCGGCACAAGCTGTAATTACTGACGTGTTCATCTGTGATTAGATTGGCACCATCTACTGTCATCTCAACGTTGGAGTCACTTTCAAAGAATCCGTGCAGAAAATATGCACAGTGTTTAAATTGACAAAATGGAAATATGTTGTAAAACTGCAGGGGAGTGAAATGGTGTAGTGAGTACACCTTCAACTTGACCTTCTGTTTATTAAACATAAATTTGAAAATTGACTGCAACATACTGCAACAATTGACTGCAACATACGGCAACAATTGACTGCAACATAGGCTGTAACCGGTTGGATAATTCACTGCAGTTTGTGACTGTATTTGAGGAGTATATCAGGGTGGTTAAACCGTCAGTGGTGTTTCAGGGAATTGGTATCTATAAAGTCACAAACTTCCTGCTTCTTTATTGTTCTTAGTGTTACGTAAGAAGCTGTGAGGTGTTTCCCCACTCGTGTTAATTGTACTCGTGTTCCCTCCATACATGACCCTGATCGAGGTAAATATTCCTGATGACATTTTGTCAGCTGTCACGTCAACCTTGTCCTTGTACTCGCATTGATAGACAAGGTATTTAGATAGTCTACGCGTTCCAAAACAAGTCAGTTGTGGCTCCAGTGCCCCCCCCCAACCCCCCACCCCCCTCCCCACACACACACACACACACACACACACACACACACACACTGTAAAGGCTGCCCTAATGTGATGTAAAAGCTAACTTTTATTTAAGAAACCGAGAGCAGATCCAGGTCAAACTTCATTCAAAGATTTTGTCCAGCAGCAGTGTTTAATTTTATGATGTAATAGGGGGCAGGAACAACGGCACTGAGGGGTCTGCAGCATTGTTGCTGAAAACAATGGGTTAGGGGGGACATTCTCTGCTCTGGTGTACCAGTCAGACTCTATTAAAAAAAAAAAAAACACATCATGTGATGAGACGCTTCCCACACATCGGGGAGACTGTGGTCTTTGGCTGCTGGTTGTACACAGTCTGCTGCTGCTGCTGCTGCTGCTGCTGCTGCTGCTGCTGCTGCTGCCCCACCACAAACCCAGGAACCAGGGAGATGACGGTGGAGCAGCAGCTCGTGTCGTTTTATACTTTCTCCAGACTGAGTGATTGATGTTCATGCTGCTCGGGGTCAACCGTGTGTCAGCCCAACAGATGGAAACAGTAACAGTGGAGGAGCAGCCAGAAACGTGACTCAGACATTTACAAGCTGCTAATAATGACGAGAACTACGAGTCTCAGGAAATAAAAAAAAAAAAAAAAAAAAACCCAAGCTTGATGACGACAGCTAAGATTTACAGATAGACAGTGAAACGATGTGTTACAGTGTTTGAATTTTCAATTTCAGGCTTTAGTCCTATAAATACAGTAGTTCAACTGGAGGAGGTTTGAAAATAAAAAAAATCTACTAGCATCCTTCTTAAGGGCCCGTTATTTTGGTTATAAGGTCAAGAAAACCTAATTTTTAATCTATGGAACTATTGATTCCATAGATTAAATTAGTCAGAAAAACAATGATTATTTGGTGTGAGATAATTTCTCATGTACTGCTCCACCTACAGGTACCCAAAGCTTATAAATTCATGTTTTGCTGATGGGGTGTGTATTGGCCTGAATCTGGCGACATTGAAAAATACTGCGATACTATAGACATTATGATATACTGAGTTTTTTTTAACAGTTAAATTGTGGGAAAACCTTCAGCAATAGTAAACACACAATGCTCTTACATGCTTAAAATCAGGTACTAAAACTGGCTGTAGTACTGCTGGTATTTGAATTATTTAGCATCAAATTAAAGCACAAGATTAATTTAACCTTCAGATAAAACTCATGCACTGCATGTCATGATCTAAGCTCGATGGTTCTTTATGAGTTTTAGCGTAGGAGTGAGATGTTTCCAAAATATACAAACATCATTTTTCCTTCCGACAGGCCTGTGCACTGCTGACGTTAAACGGCAAACATTCATGCTCACTTTATGTGGTGCATGTTAAGGTCATTCTTTTGAAAAGAGACCAAACTCTTGTTTTTATGATGAGTTGTGGACTTGCCTGTTGTTAGCAGAGCACTGTCATATAAGGATGTTAAGTGAGAAAATAAACATTACCTAAACATCTTGTTCTCTCCTTTGTTTCTTCAGTGAGAGGCCGGTGGCCTTACCCAGCACCTGGGATGGTGCCATTTGACAGAGTGGCTGTGGAGCCATAACCCCACCACTACTACATCTCCATCGTCTCGACTCTAGAGCCCACTGCACCAAGACTGCTGCCCTCCCAGAAGTTTTGCTCAGTGCCCTGGACAAGGCCACTACAGACAACACATGACTCATTCACTGGAGCCCTAGATCAAGTGAGTACAGAGCCGGCACCCCGTGTTGGCTCCGATGTTTCGGATGACTAACATCTGGGAGCTCGGCGTCTGTTCTGTCTGTAAAGCTGTAAAGTTTTATTTACAGGTTGCAGGTTCGGACATCTCCAAAAATGAAAGCAACAGATTCCTGTTGGCAATTGTTGTTCATAATTCACTGCTTCAACTGTAAATGTCCCATTTAACCCTGGTGTACTGGGTTTGAATGCAGCTGTGATTGAAATACAAACACCGTGTCACACTGTGCTGGTCATCGGTCTACATTGGTGTGTTTAGTGCAAAGCTGTAAACCATTTCCATAGACAAATCAGCAGTGTTAAAGAAGCTATAATCTACTGACAGAAATATACATGCAAAAATACCACTGTTTTTTTTTGTTGCCTTAGGCTCAATGGTATAAAATGTCAAACGTTTTGTTCATTTTTGATTCAGAAGCTAAGAGCTTTCTTGAAGAAAACAAAAAACGGCTTGAAGCAAATATTTTCGCTCCAGCTTCTATATCAAATTGTGAAAAGAGTAAAGCGTACAAGTGTATTTTGCAAATTCTTTTTTTTAATATTTTTTATTACAGTGACAATATAATTAATTGTGTTGTATGGTTTCAGCGGGGCAATAGAACAACAGTGTCACCTGCGTACAGGAGATGATATGAAGAGGTGGAAAACTTACTTAATATACTGAAACATATTTATAAAAACTAAGAAACTGAAGGCACTTCTCATCTGTGATGCACGTTTACTCAAAGACTTATGTCAGTAAAGTGTGAAAAACTAAACTTAAGTGCAGTCTGCCTGGAGTTTATCGAGGAGGACTCGAGCGATGACGGTCCTAAAGCTGTCACGGTTCTTTGTGCCTTCGTCTCCGTCACTGTATGCTCTGAAGCTTAAGGCCCCAGACTGGCTGCAAGGCTGTGAACAGCCCAGCAGGTCTCACTAGACCTCCTGTAGCACATTTCACGAGTTGAAGTGAGGACACACATACACACTTACACACAGATTAGACACAGGCAAATTACACACAGATCTGTGGCGCTGAATGGCTGTTAAATATTCATGAGGAATTATCTGCGGAGGATAGGACGGATTTGAGGTTAATGTACCACTACTCTATGAGAGGAGGCCTTGGTAATACATACCGTACACATCACCATTTATGGATATAGCATAAAATTTTATGTGCTCAGACGACAGATGTGCTCCATAAAATCGATGCTTCACATTTTGGTGATAAATATTGAATCATTTTTGGACCGTTTTCGCCGATGCGTTCTCAGTCTTCTTCTGCTGCTGTTCCTTACTTTCCTTTTTAAAAAACGCAGTCTTTTGGTGGCAGCTTTCACTGACGGTGCCTGTCACCACCGAACAGGGCTCCACACTAAATATTTCTGTCTGTACGAGCGTCTCTGGAAGCCAGTGCAGTCAGAGGTCCTTGGTAAACATCCTTGACCTCAGTCTGCACAGCTGGTGGGAAAACTGGAAATCAGGCCTTGTTTATAGTCGTGCAAAGTGATCAGGCATGGTCTCTGGCACATCTCGCAGACACAGAAGCATTTAAAGATGTTAAAAAAAAACAACACCCCACCAGACTGTCAGGACAGTTCCAGCTCGTCCTGTTATTTTAGCAGCCTAATAATACAATAGGAGAACATGTTATTTCCCATTTTCACATGTAATCTAGACAATAAAAATTCCTGGAAGTTGCTCAAACATATTTTAAATTTACCTTACTTATAAATCTGATTTCAATTACGATTTTGGCTTGCTACGTTCATGAAAACAAGACAATCTAAATAAAATGATTATTGTGCCGATCTCGTCATGTCATTGCAGCAGTACACACTTTTTTTCCTCCTGTTTTGTTAACTCACTAACATCTATTCAGCTTTCCTACTTCACCTGCCTCTGTCTGAGTTTGCTGGTTTGGAAACGTGTAAAAATGCACAAGAAAGTGTGAAATGATTTGTACTTGGCCACACGACATGACGAGTTAATCCAGTGCATTTGATTCAAAGGGAACCTGCTGACATGAAGAGATGAAAGGCCTTAATCATAAACTCTTACCACAAGGGAGGAACTGCTGATTATCAGCCATAATCATTACGATAGAGGAACAGGATAGACCAGAAATATCATGATGGCTGTTGATGGCTTGTTGGCCCACGGGCTGATTGACTACGCGCACACAGGTGAAAGTGTGGTTCAATTAATCTAGATAAAATCATCTATACTGAACCCAGCGACCAAGCACCAGGAGGAGTGGATGCATTTGATGCTTTCTTGGAAAATCAATAAATGTGAGAACATTGTCCGTGCTGTCAATTAATTGCCGCTATGTGGGCATATTGAGAGCAATATATATATATATATATTTATACCAGACTTTTTAACAGGAGAACAGCCTGAGAGCGCTAAGGTCATCAAGGAAACACAGTCTCTCTTCTTTACTGTAATGTACAAGTGCAACAGGTGCCAAGTGTTGAATAGATGATTCACTGACTCCAACAAACAGGTTTGCACTTCCTGAATGAATCTTTTTTCTATGTACATTTTGAAAGGATAACGTGCTAAAAATAACTCCAGGGCAACAGTTGATATTACCGTTTTTTTTTACCAGACCACGAAGGCTGATTGAATTGAATGGTCTTCATTGATACACTGAAATGTTGTGATATTACATCTCACAATACCCTATCAATATTTAACACCAATGTATTCATTATGTTATCACCAATTCCCAGTCAAATATTCCTGGTGTTGGTTCATTTTCTTTTTCTTTTCTTTCTTCTCTAGCAATATATCGTATCATTGCTCCAGTGTCGTGGTACGTGTTGTAGATATTCAGGTGGAACAGCGTTCAGTCTTTACTATGCTGACAGTTTGACGATGATTAAATTGTTTTTAAAAAATATATAATATTATCGTGCCTATAGTATGGCAGTATGACGCAATATATCGTTGCTCCAGTGTCGTGGTACGTGTTGTATTCTTACCAATACATAATTACTTTGGGCCCGCGCTTCATGGCGTAAAAGCGATGCTCCAAAGCCAGGGGCCAGTCAGAGGCGTTACAAGATGCAGCAGGTGGTGCAACGCACCATGTTATGGCTTCTGTAGAACGTAATCTGTCACCATTTTTGACGTGTGCATGTGACATATTTTTCGGCCTTGGCCTTGTCCGTTATCAGGCCTCAACATTTAGTTTGCTGCTTAAGAGAAAAACAAGGCAAAAGTTTTTGGAGTCTAACCTCCAAATCTGAGTTCCTCTCCAACTGTCAGGGTTAAAACACATTGTACTTTTTTTTCTTTCCTTTTTTTTTAACTCAGTTTGTATGGCACGACATGTTACACTGTTTGGTTTTGGTTAGCTAACATATATGTTAGTGGCTAAGGATGTAGACTTTTCCGAGGTCACAGAGAGGAGACGGAGGAGGAGGCATTTTTTTTTTTAGGACGAAGCGGCAGGAACAACATCACCACAAACAGAATCAGCTCCAGATGTAGCGCAGTTGTAACATCACAAACAGCAGTGGAATTCAATATATGTCATGCTGTGTAAACCTGAGCGCTTTGATCTCAGTCGTACACCACAGACACGGTCAGTGCTGCTCACATCCACTCTGTTTGTCCTGCAGTGGATTTAACCACTCAAATGGATCCAATTGTCTTATGTGTCGTTTTGAATTTTAAGCAAAAAACTGAAAAATAAATTTGTAGAACAGATGAAGGTCTGACATGTGGTACAGTATATATTTTATTTTGTTTTCAATTGGGTTTTTCTGCAGCTTTAAGTTAAGAAAAAAACAAACAACTTTGCTCATGTCATTTGGTACAACCAGTTGACCACCTTTGTTAAATTACAACTAAGCATTTTCACATTCATTCTCATCAAAGAAAATATTACGTTTCTATTGTGAATTTGTCTTTATAAGCCCGACAAACTGAGACAAAAATATGGTGGTATTTTATTTTTACTAAGGCACATCTTACGAATTTTTCTCAGCATTAAATTATTTGCTATACTAAGGCACATCTTACGACTTTTATTTATATTTTTCTCAGCATTAAATTATTTGCTAATGAGACTAAAACATGACAACTTTTGTCAGTTAATTCACATGATTATTTTTGAACCATCATCCTCCCTGTTCATTTGTTCTCGGTCCTGTTATTGAATCTGCTGCACTGAAAAAAAGAAAACACTGAACTGCGGCCCTGAGCTAAGTTCACGTGTGCTACGTGAATCTTATCACCGACGCAGTGCCAAAAAAACATTTCTCCAAGCCACAAGTGTGTGTCTGTGGTGTGTCTGTGGTGTGTCTGTGGTGTGTTTTGACAAATATAAGACTAGGAGCGATCTCTGTTCTGATCATCATGGTTCCACTTGATTGGCAGTTGATGAATGTATTGTCTCTGTTTCTTTACCTTTGTCCTTGTTAGGTCAGTTCAAGCTGAAAAAATGAGTGCAGTAGGGGAAGGCCCGCTGGACCCTGCCACGCCAGAGTCACGCAAGAGGAAGGGCTCGCCATGTGACACATCGGTGCAAAGGTAAAGTGTCACCCATATATACTCTCTCTCTCTCTCTCTCTATATATATATATATGTATATATATATATACAAATATATACACCTGAAAAAAGCCAAACAGTCACTATTGAGTCGAACCTAAAGGGGTCCCACCGATCCTGGAAAACTCTGGAAAATGTCCTGGAACAGGTTTCAGTGAATCCAAAAGAACACATCAGTTCTCCTCCCAGTTTCTTTTTCTCTGTGAGTGATTGAGAAGGAGTGCAAATCAATTTTCTTTTGACGTTAGAGCAGCTCTTCAGTTTTGACTCCAGTTTGACTTTGTCGTTAGACCTTTTAAGAATGTTAAATGTCTGGTGGAGACAACTAGCAACGATGCAGTTAAAGAACTGGTTCAAGACTTAGACTTTGTGGTTGGCGTTCATGCTCTTTATACAGTAGCTCGAATGAAGAAAAAAAAGAAGAAAATAATGTCAGAAATGTTTGATCCAAGGAGGAGAATTATCTGTCCACTAGTCTCTAATGTAAACATCAGACCAAAATCATGGTGAAGCGCTAAATTATCACAGGTCCTGTAGCAGGAGAAGTGAGTGATTGATAACAGAGAGCCTTCAGTTGATTTGTTTTTTGCCTCCGTGGTTTATCTCTGTTCTTACAGACGGGCTGTTTGTTCGTCTTATCAGCTCAGAAAAAGAAGAAGAAGAAAAACCTTTGTTTGACTCTCAGGCACCATGAGCTTTTTCTACCATTTGATCCTTTTTTTTCTTCATTAGCTTCCACTTTACATGGTGTCATGTGGGCTGTTGTTGTGCTGTGCAGTTGAGGTTATATCAGGACACACAGTGGCCCAGCGGTGAACGTGCTCAGTGTGAGCCTATAGCGTCCAGTAACTGATGTAAGCTGATGTAACGTAACGACTCAGTTCACATTCACACGCAGCCACTGACCTGCACGTTCACACGCCATCCATCCACCCCCCCACCCCTCACACTCCCAGGCCACCACGCCTGTGTTCTGGCCGGCCACTGCACTGACCTACTTTTGTAACTGTTGTCGTCTTACACACTCACATGTACACACGCACACAGTAGGTTCCGTCCCCCACCCCCCATGTTTACTGCATACCTCGCTCCAACCTTTTTCTTTTCTTTTCTTTTTTTTTTTCGCCCTGAAAGTATATTATCACAACTGGTGACTGAGGATAAGCAGCAGGCCGTGCAGGGATCGGAGTGATCACCTCATTAATGCACCATAACTTCTGCACCTGGATCATATGACAGTAAACAACAGTGGAGGGGCTAGGCGGTGGAGCGGGGGGTCAGTGCTGAAATATCATTGATGTATTTCACGCCTCTGACAGTTACCTACAGTTGGCTGCCATTTTGGCTTCACATTTTAATAATATTTGGTAAGAATCTAAATAAACAACCGTACAAACTTTTTTTTCAGATTCTGTACTTGACAATAATGAAGTCAGGGTTTGTGGTCTGTTTAACCTGCTGCTGCACTAAGAATGGTTGTGATGTTGGAAGTTCATTAAAATCCACACAGGTTAAACTCCTGAATCAACAACATTTTCAATGGACTTTGGTGCAGTGGAACTCACCAAACTCAGCCACACGTGGACAGAAATTCTCCTTAAAAAGAATCAACAACGAAACAAAAATCATGAAATGAAGGTATTTCTTTTGGACATGACTACAGTTCTGTTATAATGCAAAGACTGGACCCACAGATCCTACTGTTGGTAGATGAAGATCAGGGCTCAAACCACCAAAGACCAGCTTTAAAAACCAGATGTCATCATTTCCTGTCTCTCATCCTCATCTCAGCAGATTTTCGCTGGTGACTTCCTGTCTGTTCTCTCCTGGTTTACGTGTGCAGCATGTATTATTTAGCTCCTCCTCGTCTGAGTGACACGTGGATTTGTTTAAACGACATATTCTAAATGTTCCTTTAAGAATGTGACCCAAAAATGAATGCCTCATTTGTGATTCTCTGCAGCTTGGAGAAGCTGTGTGACCCAAAATTTTGTGATTCTCTGCAGCTTGGAGAAGCGGCGACGGGAGCTGGAGTGCCGCTACATCGAGGAGCTGGCCGAGCTGCTGTCGTCCAACATGGGCGACATCGCCAGCCTCAGCGCCAAGCCCGACAAGTGTCACATCCTCAGGAGCACCGTGGACCAAATCCAGCAGATCAAACGGCGTGAGCAGGGTCAGTGAGGGACGCAAGACATGTTTGCACAAATATCTAAATCAGAGTAGAAGAAATTAATCCTGAGCCTAAAACGTTACATTACAGAGAAAGCAGCGCTCCTGTCTCCAGATGATGAGGTGCAGAAGAGCGACATCTCCTCCAGTAGCCAGGGCCTGGTGGAGAAGGAGGCATTGGGGCCCATGCTGCTGGAGGTAAATACTCACACACATGCCTGTGTCCTCCCTGCGTGCATCGCTCACACTCACTGTTTCACTTTTAAACTCCTCCTCACACTTCCAGGCCCTCAACGGCTTCTTCTTCGCCGTGAACCGGGAGGGCCGCATAGTCTTTGTTTCTGAGAACGTGACGAGTTACCTGGGATACTCTCAAGAGGAGCTGATGACCTCCAGCGTCTACAGCATCCTCCACGTGGGAGACCACAACGAGTTTGTACGCAATCTGCTCCCCAAGAGCCTCGGTGAGTCCACAGTCCACCCACAGAACGTTCTTTTTCTTTTAGGTTTCCACCTTTAACTCAAACCCGCATTTGACAAAACATGTTTACCCTGGTGTACTATCTGACATGTGACTGTCACCGTCAGTGTGTATGACACACAGTTCTAAGTAGGATTAAACCAAACATTGGACACTGGAAACTTGTGCTAAAGTATCAGTGAGAATAAGGACAGTCAGGGAAGTGGACGAAACCCAAACCCTCCTCACCTCTCCTCCTTCCCTTTGTGTCTCCTTCTTCCATTGTCCAGTGAACGGCGGGCCGTGGTCGCAGGAATCCAACCGGAGAAGTAGCCACACCTTCAACTGTCGCATGCTGAAGAGGCCACCAGATGAGGCGGACTCGGAGAACCAGGAGGCACGGCAGCAGTACGAGATCATGCAGTGTTTCACTGTGTCTCAGCCTCGGGCCTTGAAGGAAGAGGGCGACGGTGAATACACACACACACACACGCTGTCACCACTGATACCTGAACTGGACAGTGGGTGAAGCTGAGGTGTGAAACCTGAATAAGAAAAAAAGTTTAAAAAAAAGTTTTGGAGTCCCTGCTGCAGTGGCCTTGATAAAACCGTCATTAAATTTCAGTGTCTCCAATGTCTCATCTTTTCTCGCTGTCCTACTGCACACGTTTGACTCTTTGTGGACATTTGTGTCCATTCTGTCCCCAGACCTGCAGAGCTGCTTAATATGTATCGCGTGTCGAATACCTCGCTCCCCTCAGTCTGTTAACAGTGAGTCTTTCATCACGAAGCAGGACCCTACAGGTAAGACACACACATTACATTTTGCAGAAATAAAATGTCCCCAAACTGTAGTATTTGTACAAAAACAACGTCCTCAGAAAAACTACACAAACAAGTTTTTATAATAATAATCCTGTCATAATGTGCATTCATTGAACAAACCATTTTGAACTTAATAGAGTTGCAGTATTAGATTTTGTATTTTTGGCGGTGTTTTGCATTGATTAATTTTGTGATTTTAATGTTAAGTAGGGTGTTTTGCATTAATTTTGTGATTTTAATGTTAAGTAAGAAGGTGTTGTGTTGAACTCAGATGTCCTGTCACGTGGGTGACCCTTTGAGCTGCTCCTCCTCAGGGTTAGAATGGTCAACTTCAACTGTTAGACTCTAAAATTCTGTCTTTTATAAAAGCTCCTCGGAGCACAGACGTGCTCCACCAGCATCATGTGACCAGCATGGGAGCCACATGTCTGCAGTGGTCATGTGAGCTCTGTGCACTTGTTGTGAAATAAAATAGCAGAGGGGGGGGGGGGGGGGGGGGGGTCTGGGGGAAAAAACCTGCTTTAATTAAAAGTAATTAATATGCTGTAGAGTTGGTTTGACTGAAGCTGAGACGATTTCACATGGTGTCAGGTTTCACCTGGTTAAATATGGGCATCGTGTCCATGGTCGTCAAGTGATCAGTCCTGTTGCCCCAGAGAGAGAGAGGATGTCACAAGTTCTCTGCATGTCCACATGTCTGTGCGTGTTGACGTGCCTGTGGGCTTTCTGTCTGTACTTCACGTGATTTCCTGTTCGGCTGGGGATCGGGTTCCCAGTAGCTCACAGGAAGTTATTTTGTAAAAATAAATAGGTTAGAATAATTGTAAAAAAAATCCAAAATTTGAATAAAAACGGTCACATTTGATTTTTTTTTTTTTACTCTCTGTATACACTGTTTTTTTTTATGGCTGCTGCAGTGTTTGTGTTTTTCACCTCAGACACCTTACAAAAAAAATCAGACATCATTAAACAATCACAGACAAATTAATGCTGCTGATCCTCCTTCTTCTGCTCACCTCCAGGGAAGATCATCTCTATAGAAACCAGTGCTTTGCGCGCGTCGGGCCGGCCAGGCTGGGAGGACCTGGTCAGGAAGTGCATCTGTGCTTTCTTTCAGCCGCAGGGCAAAGAACCCTCCCACGCCAAGAAGCTGCTGCACGAGGGTGAGTCGCCTACACCGATTGTTTTCCGGGCCTCATCTGCAAAACCCGCCGGCACCATCTGGGCCGGCCCCGCCATGGCAACGAGAGTTCTGCATCAATATCGTCCACATACGGTTGTTTTAGCATTCAGTTAAGACCTTTGTTCACTTTTGTGCAGCAGAAGCTTGTATAAAATATTACAGAATAAATATTCGGACTCAATCGTTGGAGGGTTACGAAAAGTAGAAGATAGTGTTCTTCCATTGAGTGCCACTGCTGCCACCTACCTTGATCTATGTATTGACCACATGCAATACCAAAGTTAAAAAAATAGAAAAATATATACCGGTAATTAAATAATTTTCTAATTTTACTCACATGTTACTATCTATATATGTGTATGATATGTATGTGTATATATGTAGAGTGGACATTGGAGTATATTTCAATATGTACAGTACATATATGTGTATTTATATATTAGAAGGGTTTAAGTAATGGTTCAGATTTGTTTGTCTGATATGCAGCCAGTAAATCTGCAGCACCACTGAATCCACAGAATTAAATCGCAGTCAGGATCAGGTCCAAAACAAACAACATCTTTCACGTCCAGGAAGCTGTTTCCATTCATGGTGTTTCCTCTGTTTGCAGTATGAAAACATTGTTCTTAACGTTCCGTTTAATAATAACGTCAGTGCGTAAATGTATGTCAACAAGAGGATTCGTGCAAACACGGCCGATCGACTGTGATGGTTATTTTGGCTTCGCTTCTCCCACAACACGGCCCCGATAAAGAACCGTAGATATGTGCAAAGTAGAAAAATATAATTTATAAATAAATTTTTTGTCCCTACAGTAATGACCCACGGCAGCGCCGTCAGCCCGCTCTACCATTTCTCATTAAGTGATGGCACGCAACACAGCGCTCAGACACGCTGCAAGTTCTTGTGTCCACCCAACCCTGACGTACAGCCTTTCATTATGGGCATTCACACTATTGACAGGTGAACACACACACACACACACACACACGTTGGTTTTTTAAACTTAAAGTATCGCTGGGTGAGAACAGAGAAGCTAATGCTACATTAATGAATTTACCTGCTAACAAAGTCACATGCTGTCTTTTGGTTGTACTTGCTGCCCCCACAGGGAACACAACACTGCTAGCTCTCAGGAAAACACTACACCCACGCTTGGCAGCCTTAGCCAAGTCCCCTCCCGCTCTCCTTCCCTTCCTCCCGGCAGCAACTCGTCCCAAGGTCCAGGCCTCACCTCCTCAGGCCTTCACAGCAACAACAGCAACGCCTCCACCCAAGGACTCAACCCAGCCACGCCCGCGGGCTACCTGACGCCCAGTCGGACATGTCCCCAGCAGCAGGTCAACAGCCCCTCCCCTCTTAGCAGCCCACTCACAGCCACCCCTACCTCTTTTATGTCGCCCAGGATGCCACGGGCCAGCCCTGGGTTGGGGGGGAGTCCTCGTGTACCAGGAAACCCCTTCTCTCCCTCGACGCCAGGCCTCCATTCCCCCACGGGGGGGCTGAGCAGCGGAGGCAGCCTCACTAGGCAGCACTCTGGTGGTGACAGTGGCAGCGCTGGATCGACGGGGGCCTTCTCTCTGTCCTCTCCTGTTTCTCAGAGACGGGCCAGTACACCCACCAGTGCCTGCACCCGACCTCCCTCTGCCAAACAGGCAGAGTCGGGAGCAGACGGAGAGGACTCTCTTAAAGCCTCCTTGTCTTCTGCCTCACAACTGGGTACTCAAATCAGACTCAATCAGCTCCTGGACAGCAACGGGACAGCAGCTGAATCTAACGGTAAAAACAACAACAACGGCATCCACTGCACCACATCACCTCATCCATCCAACCCCCATCCTGGCCCACAGTGCCCCGCCTCCCACAGTACACTAACACAGCGGCACAAGATCCTTCATCGGCTGCTCCAGGACAGCAGTCCCAACGACTCGTCATCCAACGTCGACGAAGGAGACCCCAAGAACGACGTGCAGGTCAAGAAGGAGCCGCCCACCAGTCCTGCAGTTGCCATGGCGTCCAGATCCAGCACCAGAGAGCCTCAAGACCACCAGTTACTGCGCTTTCTCCTGGACACAGATGAGAAGGTCAAACAGTTCAGGAATTAATAAACACTTTTGTATACTTTATGTCATGTACCAATAAAATATCATCAATGTTTTTTTTCCAAAGGACTTGGGGGACCTGCCTCCTCCCTCCGCCCTTAGCTTGGAGACAGTTCGGGTGAAGGTGGAGAAAAGAGTCAGCATTGACGGAGCTGCCTGCTCGGGCTCCTCCGCTGCAGCGGATGGTGCGTCCAAACCTGCAGGAGTTTCCAGCGGCTCCGGCTGCATCAGCCCCAAAGCCAGTCCTGTCGCAGAGAAGCGCAGAGACAGTCGCAAGGACAGCAGAGACTCCACGGTAGGAGAGACTGAGAGACTCTAGGTTTTAGGAGTGTGTATTGGCAAAATATCTGTTCATATGATATTGTGAAACAAAATAACACAATATTTCAGTGTATAATATTTATGATAAATGATATTTATCAATATTTTTGTTATACTTGTAGTAGTTTTCAATGCGTCTTTTGCTTTAGGATAAAAGAACATACGTTGCATTTATTGCGGTACAAAAGGGTAAATTTGACATCTCGCATCAAAGTGATCCTAATGTAAAGGGTTTCAAATATGTTACATCCTTGAACGTCCTTTGGGACATTTAACGTAGCCCGCGCTGGTCGCGGTTTTTTACATCATCATAACTTCCTGTTTTGGCTCGGCCTTTGGAGTCACTGTGTCGATCTGAAAGGAGAAGCTGATGTTTCCCTGTCAGTGTGATTCATCTGCAGAGTTGATAACAGCTCATTAACAAACAGCTGTTTGTGTCACAAAACTCTGAGTCATCCAGAGAGTGAGAAGGAAAAATGTAGACTGTCATTAACTCTAACTTTAATTTATTCAGCTCTGGCCCAGCACGTGAAGAATCTACTTCTCACTCAGATTGTTGCACAACTTGCAACAGGTTATTATGGTCATTATGGCTCTGATCCGGTCAGACTGTCGCGTCGAGGAGAAGACAAGTGTCGTCAGTGGCGCGGTGCTTCGCTACCGTCGTCACTCGGGATTTTCATTGACACCGTCCTCAGTATCAGTATCAGGAAGGAAGAAGATGTTACCATCAAATGTAGAACATTTCCTCTACAGAGCTGCAGTTCCTGCGTTGGCAGTGTGGCTCAACAGTCGCTGTAAATCAAGTCGAATGTTTATTTTCTTGGACTTTGTCTCCAGTGTAGGCTCAGCTACCAGCTGCAGCCTTTGAAGCACACTCACCTCTGACCTTTTGTCCCTCTGCATCTCCAGTTCACTGATTGTATGCTGCACGCCCCCCCTCGCACCTATATACACACACACAACACACACTTGTTAGTCTGTAATTGTTCTCCCACCACCACCCATTCTCCCCCTCCCTTCTTTTGCTCCATCCCTCTCACCCTGATCAATTCTCATTTCTTTCTGCCTTTTCTCACCCTTGTCCCCCGCCTCAGATGTCTGTTGACATGGACCCTCTCACCCAGCTGCTGCCTGGCCTCAGAGGCCCGAGTGGGGCCAAACAGAGCGCTGACGAGTCAACAGCCCCTGGTGGAGGCTCCCAGCTCCAGTCTCCCCAGACGCAACCCCCTACCCAGCTCCAGTCCCCCTTGTCTCAGTCCCAGTCCATACCCCATTTACAGTCACCGTCCCCCCAGCTCCACTCCCCGTCACCTCAACTCAAACTGCAGTCGCCCACCCAGCTCCACCCGAGCGAGGCCAGCACTCCCCGCAATGCAACTGTGAAGAGAGAGCCTCCAGGCACCCCCAACAGAGGTACTGCCTCAGCTGAGTGAGGGGAGGGGGGGGGGTATCAATAAGATTTATAATGAAGAAGGGAATATTTTTATGATTATAAATGAGACAAACATTTTTAAAAAAGTATTTCATAACCAATCCTACAGTAAAACTACGAGTACTACACAGTCACTAGTACTCTAGTAACCCTGATCCTGTATGTGCCCTGTGACTGTTGTTCAGGTCTCAGTGATGGAGGACCTCCATCCGGCTGTAGTCTCCAGAGTCAGACGTCCTTTGACTTCTGCAGTCCCCCTACTCCAGGACAGACCCAGGTCCAGGGACAAGGAGCAGGAGACCCCTTCCTGACCCCCAAAGACAGCAGCCCCTTTTCGGAGGCAGACATCCTCAACCCATTCAGCTCAAGCACTGGTATGAGAACTGCTGTACTGTACTGTACTGTACTGTACTGTTACTGTATGTCCTCTGTACTGTGTACCACTGTATGTATATAATACTGCAAACAGCTGTGTTTAGATGAGGATGTAAACAGGCTGTTGTTATGTAACATATCACATGTTTGAGGTCACTTGGTTTGTGGATATATGTGGATATGTGTCCCAGAATAAGAGGGTGAAACATAGTCAAAGAAACTCTTTTTCTTCTCCAGGCCTGACGAAGATGGACATGGGAGAGATCCAGCCTCTGGCTCTGTCTGACACCCTGTTGTTCGACAGTCTTGGAACTCCTTTACAGGCTCCTCTGGCTTCACCACAAGAGTAAAAACAAACTTCATTTTTAATTCTCTGTGCATTTGGAACAGGTGACATGAACCTGTTCATTTGCTGTTAAAGGTTGAGGCGATGCAGTGATTCCTATTGGCTCTGCAGGAGCTGGTAACTAATGCGTGGGAAAGGAAGTGATTTGTTGTTGGTTTACAGTAAACAAATCATTCCTCGCAAAAGTAAAACAAATGTTTAAAAAGGAAATAGAATCAAATTTGATTTTCTTGGCTCGAAATGTTGGTGTTTATCAACAGGACATGTAAAGCCTCCTCTTCCCCTGTAGGGAGTGCTATGAACACCTTTTGTTACTAAAAAAT